CGGACCTCGCGGTTCCCGTCCCGGCCCCGGTGACCCAGGTGGCGTCGCCGAGCTGCGGACCCGCAACCGTACAGCAGGGTCAGCGCCTCCTTCGCCTCTTCTCGGTCGCGTTCACTCTGTATGGATGATAACTCCCGAACCTTTTTCCAGGTGAGCAAAACCCAGATCAGAGAGCTAATTTTGCGGAGCTCAGGCGACAGCCGGAAGTCCCGCCCGCACTGTACCGGCCACGAACGGAAGAGCCTCTTTGAAGCTCTCATTGGAGAGCGATGCTGCCGCTCGACTCTTCGCATTCTGGGTAACGTAGTCCGCGCAGTTATGAAGCCCGGAGTCAGGTTCATCTTTCAGGGAAGGTCCAGGCTCCGCTGAAAAGGGCGAAGGGAAAAGGCCGATGCTGTTCGGCTTCGCTTCATATTTGACAGAATGTGACCATATTTCTGCCTAATCCTCTCTGACGCTCACCACCCAAGTGTTTGGAGACCGATTTCAGACCCAGGGAAGCTAAGCCCGCTCCCGAAGGCCAATAATATTTTTGATGCTCCCAAAGGCTACAAACCAAATAAACACATCATTCTGGAGCGTCTTTCAGTCGCAAGGTGTGTCCACGCCTGGTGGAGGCTAATAAACATTATCTTATTTCAATTCTAATGCGTTCACTCCATAGCATTAAATTCACTCGATCAAGAGAGAAAATACTCCAGGTTGTGCCATGTCAAGAACGTTGGGCCACCTGGAATCGGAAGTAGAAGGAGAGATATGACAGAGTCGCTCCTTGACTAGTCTTTAGTTAGGACACTATAGGCTTTTTTTTTTTTTTTTTTTTTTTTACACCTGGCCCGTACTTGGCAAGTGCCAGAATCCTGCCAAGTAGGTTTCGCAAGATTTTCTCCCGAATATCTGTTCACCACTGATATGTGATCAAATCCCTCACCATCACACAGGTGATCTCTGATCATACTGACCTGCCTTCAGCAAGGATCTTTTAGGTCAGTTTAGGAGGAATTTCCCTAATCTCCTAGTGATTTTCTATCCATTGACCCCCCCCTCAACAACCGTGTTCCTTGGCTATAAACCCCACCTTTTAAAAAAATCTGAAGTTGAGTCCAATGTGTCTTCCCCATACTGCAAGTTCCCACTGTCCCTGCACCTGGGGGGATGCTCCTGAATAAAGGCTTCGTGACTGTCTCAACAAGTGTCTTAATTTTTATTTTCTTTTTAAGATTTTATTTATTTATGTGAGACAGAGAGAGAGTGTGCGCTGACTCCCCGCTGAGCTGGGAGCTCGATGTGGGGCTGGATCCCAGGGCCCTGAGATCATGACCTGAGCCAAAGGCAGACGCCTAACCGACTGAGCCATCCAGGTGCCCCAATAATTTTTCTCTAACAGATCTATGTATTCTGGATAAAACATCTCTCCTGCCTGTAGAGTCAACTATTCTGTCCCATTCACTGAGAAACACTTTTATCCATTTAATATGTCTTACTTGATATCCAGATTACATTCAGTTCCTTTTAGGAATATAACATCAATCTTAAAAAGACAATAATGAGAAAAATGCTACTTTGGTATGGTACAGTGGCTGCAGTGTTCCAAGTTGAAGCATGTATGTAAATGGTTCTTTCTACCTGGAGATACTGGGAGTATCTTAAATTCATTATTTCACTGCTGCAAACTGATTATCGTTTCTTTTGTGATGCTGCAGGGACTGTTTTGCTTGAAGAATTAATATGATCTCAGGAAAACAGTTGTAAAATTCAAATTACAAAGCTATTATCAATGTTTATGTAGTGCTTGTAGGTGGTGGCAGAAATAGCTTTGGTGACACATCTGTAGAAGGTGAGAAAATGTAAGACCTCAGAGGAGTTTTAGCGGTGATGCCTGAGAACACATCAGATCGAGATGAGCGTGTGACCAGATTGGTCATTCTGAAATTTTGTCTCCAAAATGGAAATCTCCATTCTTGTAAAGTCTGAGCAATACCTGCATGGAAAAAGAATTAAAGAGGACATTTAGAGTACCCAGAATTGTAAAATGTACAGGGAAATTGAGATGTCATGTTTATTCCTGGTCTCACTGATGATCGGTGAACAAAAATTTGGTTTTAGGCACTTCTTGTAGGTGCCTGGAGGACATTGGGTCCTAAGACAGACAAAGACCCTTGCATTCTGGGACTTGTGTTGTTTTCAAGGAAGAAAGACCAGGAACAGAAAAGAGTAACTAAAGAAATATGTACTATGCTAGAATGTAGCAAAGTGGAAGGGGAAGACAAGGTGAGTCTCCTGAGAGGTAAAGTATGGGATGTAATATTACTTAGCCCAATAAGGGAGGCCTCCTTAATAAGAGGAGAAAACACTTGAAATTGTAAGGGATGAGCCTCATGGATATGTTTGCAATAAGTTCTGGGCAGAATAAAGCAGTTTCCTAGGTTATTCAGTCAGTGCAGCCTTCACGGGTCTCAGCAGTGGACGGCCTGGGATGCGAGGCCAGTTGACCTTTCCTTTACTTGTCTTACTACAGATACACTCAGGGCATGTGGGTGAGAAATCCTGGCTCTGTCTCTCAGAGCCTGCAAATCTCCACTGAGGTGGACTGGGTGAGGCCTGGAACCAGTCAACGTCACCTTTCCTAGAATTCTGATTTTCAGAGTTTCATCCCTGGACCCTCACCCAGAGTGTCACCTAGGGACTCTTGAAAAGCACATTCTGAATCCTGAACCTGGCCAGATCTACTGAATCAGGCACTTTGTGGATCAGGCCCAAGTGTCTGTGTTTTAACAAGCTTCCACATGATTCTAATACCTATTCAAGAAATTTCCACCAATTTTCTGCTGTGTTGTGCAGAAATATGTACCTGCATTTTTTGTGACTAACAGATATTCTGTCTAAATTTGTAGAGTTTTAAAACTGAAGTTGGCAAAAACAAAAACAAAGAGAAAAACAAGAAACTGAGTCAGTACATATTTGTTTTCCTAATAGAAATGAAAGTATAAAATGTTTTCTATCTCTTATTGAAGGAGTCCTATCCCATATACAGTTATAAAGTAGTATGTCAAAAGTCTCAGATAGTTAAATCTCCTGGAGAAAAAGAAAGTTTGCAGTATAGCATCCTTTTAGAATGGCTCGTGCACATGGACTCCACTGAGTGTCTATATGTTAAAACATGTTCCTGTACAAGCTGATTTCTGTAGTAAAAATAAAGTCATATTTTGTATACAGATCAGTACTTTGCTGTCTCATTTAACAATGTATCTTGGACAACCTAAAGCTACTTCAACCTTTTACACCTGCTACCTCCTAAAGGCCACACTTAGTAGACCTGAAGCTGCCTCTTTTATTTATATTTTAAAGGTTTTATTTATTTATTTATTTGACAGAGACAGAGACAGCGAGAGCAGGAACACGGGCAGGGGGAGTGGGAGAGGGAGAAGCAGGCCTCCTGCTGAGCAGGGAGCCCAATGCCGGGCTTGATCCCAGGACCCTGGGATCATGACCTGAGCCGAAGGCAGACGCTTAACAACTGAGCCACCCAGGTGCCCAGAAGCTGCCTCTTTTAAAAGACTCCTTGCGGGTCACCTGGGTGGCTCAGTCGTTAAGCATCTGCCTTCGGCTCAGGTCATGATCCCGGGGTCCTGGGACCCAGCCCCACGTTGGGCTCCCAGCTTAGTAGTAAGTCTGTTTCTCCCTCTGCCCTTCCGACTGCTTGTGCACTCTCTCTCTCTCTCTCTCTCCCTCTCTCTCGAATAAATAAATAAAATCTTTTAAAATATATATACAAATAAAAGACTGCTTGCGTTTCATTGCATGCTCCATGGCTGGCCAGCTGCACTGGGGAAGCTGGGCCTACCTACTGATCTCGCCTTGGTCCTACCAAGATCCCTTCTCAATGGCCATGGAAAACTCTGTAGAGGTACCCAAGGTGGTTCCTTGACGCTAGAGAAGTGGGATTTGGGAGAATAGCCCTGGCTCATGGAAACATGTGGCTTGGGAAAATGAAAGATGTAAGGGCAGAGGTCAGGAAACCGCTTCCTGGGTGGCCACCTGGTTATGCACGGTATGGAGCAACAGCTGTGTTGCACTCAATTACTAAAGGTAAAAGCTACCAATGGAATTTACAAATGGATCCAACTCCTGGAGACTTGGTTTTGTAGATGCATTGAAAAAAATAGAGGAGAGTAAGAAAAAAAGCAATATGCAATTCCTTGATTATTGTTGTGTAATAGCTAAATGTAATTTAATAAGAGGGCTGGCAGAGAGAAAGCAAGGAAGGTGAGGTCTCGTCCTTCCATCCTCCTCTCAGGGCATTTCCCAAGCTGCACGTGGATGTGGAGGCAATAGAGATCATAGCCAAGGGATATGAAGGCAACAGGAAATCCCACTGCTTAGTCCTTGGGAGAGGAGATCTCCATGGACAGGGCTGACCTATAGCCTCAGTCTGGGCTCTTTAGGTCCCCTTCACCACAGAAGCAGAGATCACCACTCTTTCCCAGCAGAGGTCAGGTACAGACAGGTGACATCATCCACAGAATCCCATGTTCCTCTTCCAGAGGCTGAATCCTCACTTCTCACTTTAGAGGCTAACTCCCAACCTGTGGCACCTGGCAGTGCCCCTGCATGTGGGGGGATAATCTTGGGGACCTGTTGAAGCCAGCATCCATCTTGTTAGTTCAGATGAAAGAAGGAACACTGTAGGTCATATTGTCCCCATGCACAGCTGGACTGACCATGGAACATGCAGACACAGGCCCAAGAGATAGGAATACTTGCTTATCATTCAAAGGAATACGAAGGAATGCAACCCTGTTAGCTTATGTATGTATAAGTGGTTAATTTAGGCACATACAAGCAGCTGACCAGCACTATCCTAAACACATAATCACCAGATGTACCTAATGAAACCTGTAACATAAGAAATTAATATATTTTTCAGATTTTAAGTCTTGTGAGATAGAACAGACCTCTGTGGGACCAGATGAAAGGGCACCAGAAGTATGTAACATCTGTTAACATGACTTTATGGGCTCCCAATCTATAGCATCCACCTTCTCTGGAGATCCCTACTCCCATCAGGGAGTTCAGGACTTTGAGCATTAGCTCCCTGTTCTCCTGGGTGGTGCCACCAATAAATAGCTGATTTTTTTTTCACCTTGGAAGCTGGGTGTCAGTCTTATTGGCTTGCTATGCATCTGGCAGATAAACTGTCCTTTGATTCAGCTACACTCTTTTATGGACAGGATACAGGTAGTATGATGTGGCCCTTGCTTCTGCCTTCTGGACTCTAAGGAGGGCAGCAAGACCAAACAGCACCCCAACCATAGGGATCTGGAACCTAAGGCTTGTGTCTGTGTCACCAGCCTCCTGGCCTTAGTACCTTTAATATTTGGCCCAATTCTCAGTACAGGAGACCCCTGAGAGTGGCCAGGTGGACAAGGGACTAACCCAGAAGTCTCCACAGTTTTCTGTGGGCTTGGAGGAAGGACCTTGGGGGCACATAGGAGAGATTCGTAGGCTGGGCCAGCCGGCCAGCCACGGAGCAGGAGGACAATGAAATGCACAGCAGTCTTTAAAAAGAGTTGGGTTTAGGGCGCCTGGGTGGCTCAGTTGGTTAAGCGACCGCCTTTGGCTCAGGTCATGATCCCGGAGTCCCGGATCGAGTCCCACATCCGGCTCCCTGCACGGCAGGGGGTCTGCTTCTCCCTCTGACCCTCTTCCCTCTCGTGCTTTCTATCTCTCATTCTCTCTCTCTCTCAAATAAATAAATAAAATCTTTTTAAAAAGTAAATAAATAAATAAAAAGAGTTGGGTTTAGGTCTAATATGTGTGGATACAAGGAGGTGTGGATATAAAATGAGGAAGTGGCTTTAGAATGTCCGAGATATATAGTTAAGTGAGAAAAGCATAGTGCAGCTCTGTATACAAAGCATGTCTTCACTTTTAACCACAACAAACAACTTTTATAGAAACAAATCTGAATTCAGGACCCAGACAGAATGACACACACATGTGCAGACTCAATTCTAAAAGGATAACACTATACAGTAAGCCTCAGCTTCTCTGTGTATTTTTGTAATTCTGTCTACTCTGTCACATTGTTTCTTTTCTCTGATACTGCACAATGTTTTCAAGAATGAAGAAAGAGATCATTTTGGAGAAAACCATCAGAGTGTACATTCTGGTCATGTGTTCAACCTAAATATTCCTGTTCTCGGACATCACTGCTAAATCTTCTCTGAGGTCTTAACTTTTTCCCCATCCACTGATGTTTCATCAAATCTCTGTCTGCCATCACCTTTGAATCACTACATAGCCACTGGTAATAGCTTTCTGTAATTTGCATTTTGCAGCTCTAGTTCTGAGGTAATACCAATTCCCCATGCAGAACAGTCCCTGCAAAAGAAATGGTAATCACTTCCAAACAATGAGACATCATGGTTTTAAGTACTCCAATTCCTTGGAAAAAGGAGAGCAGCCTTTGCATACATGCTCCCTCTTTGAACACTGCAGCCTTTGTCCCCTTCTAAAACAACATTTATTACATTGTTCTTTGATTGATGGATGTTAGATTCCTAAAAGGAACTGGGTTTATGCCAGGATATGAAGTAAGATATTAAATGGATAAAAGTATTGTTCAATGAATTGGACACAAAAATTAGTGATCAGATTAGAGAGATGTTTTCTATGGGTGCATTTTTTAAAAACGCTTGCTTTAGGGTGGCCTCACATTCATCCTATATCTTTTGTGTCACGGCCCTATATGAAGTATTTTTACCTTGTCTCTGACCTAACATACACAGACTGACAAAACTGTCTCTAAGGCTGCTGGGTGTATTTCACTTGTAGGATGATAACGTTTACTAGGTTCTGCTTCCAGGGACACATTTTGTATCTAAATGACTGTATAGAATGATATGTGCCTTTGGGAGCATATGAAATGGTTTTAGCTTTGGGACCACGCTGAGCATCAAGGGGTCTGAAATAATGTCTACAAACACTTGGGTGATCAGTTGCAGACACCACTTCCCAGAGATCTGGGTACGGATCCTTTAAGAAGGAGCGAAGCCGCCCCCCCCCCCGCCCCGCCCCGCCCCGCCCCCGACCTGGGAAGGAAGACCCTAATCGCCAGAGCCCTTAAGGGGGCATGGCCTTTCCTCCCAGAGGTCGATGGGAATGTCTCATGCGCGTCCTGTGTGTCTGTGAACTACATTACCCAGAAGAGCGCGCGTCGATGGACGGCATCCCTGACCAATGAAGGTAGAGAAAAGAGTCGTTTCTGCGTGTGCCCCTAACGTCGGGGCGGAGCTTCCGGCCTCATCCCCCTGGCGGTCTTTTTGCCTCTTTCATGCCTGTTCATCGGCTAATGTTCTGGAGCGCAGGTTCGGGATCGGGGTGACTCACCGAGAAGGCGCGAGGGAAGGCGCTGTCGCCGCCGCACACACTTGGGTCCGCGGCTGGCGACGCCGCCCGGGCTGCCCCGCGCCGGGGGCCGAGACGAGGACCGCCGGTCCGGGTGTCCGCTCCGCCTGCCGTGTCTGATGGCGGCGGCCGCGCCCCGGGACCCGACTCAGGTAAGCGCTCGTCTTCCTCCCTCCCCCGACCCAGACCCCGGAGGCCCGAGCGCGGGGCGCCGGCTCGCGGCCCTGCGGCCCAGGCCCCGGCGTCGGACGGGGCGGCGGCGCTGGGCGGGGGCCCCGTGTGCGAGCGCCGGCGTGCCGGCGTGAGGAGCGGGCTCCGGGCCGGGGGGCCTGAGGCGGGAGGAGGCCGGAGGGAGGCTGGAGGGGGCCTG